CATTTATTGACTTTGCTGCTCGATTCTTCTTCTCAGCGACCTCGGCGACAATTTACCTCATCCTGAAAAAACGGAACTGAAGCAAACGAATTGAATAGATAATTGAAGGTCTTATTAAGCCGAAGTAAATTTTTTTGCAACGAATGCCTGGGATTAGCCCTGAGTATGAAGAAGAAAAAATCCGAATGTTTACAACAGTAATAAGCAAAAAACAGGGCAAGCGAAAGTGTTCACAGTTTTTGTTACATATATGCGTTGCAAGCCTGTACTTTGAACAATTTTAGTCTCTTGCAAATTCTTGTACAAGTTTGGGAACGATATTTTTATTTTTACGAAAGGGGCAATATTTACCGCCGATGCTACATACTTAAGTGCGTTCCAAATTTGACAGTAGTTAAGAATTTATACACTTTATGCGGTTTTTGAAGCTAGCTTCTATGCGATATAAAGGTTTTGAAAAAAATGAAATTATGACACACTAAAAAATTGAATAGGCATGGGTGATTTGTTCCGTTTTTGTAAAGGTATTATTAGGTATATTAAAGGTATATTTTGTAAAGGCATTATCTACACAATATACGTTTAAAATTGTAGATTTATCGGGTGTAGTTTGTAAATAATGAGTAAAAAACAATTTTTTTATTCCTTTTGAAAAACAGAGGTATCGACAGTTAACGCGGTATTGTAGGCGTGCCCTTCGAGAAAATTGGCCCATTTTCAATACCAGCCTGCATACAAAAGCTTCAAATGTCTCTGCCAAATTTGAAGAACATAGTGTTATTTTTGCGGTCAGGGGAATGTTGACAACAGACATTACACAGACAGACATACTTAATTCGGTTCAGAATTTAATGCTGATCAAGAATACACTTTGTAGGGTCTCTGATGCTTTCTTCTGGACGTTGCAAACTTTTTCCCGTCATGGCATCAAAATTTTACTTTAAGAATTTTCTCTATTAAAGAACGTAAGCTGTTGTCGAAGTGTCATTGTATTTCGCCTCAAATATATGAGCATGCAATTAATCGCTGAAACTAACTACAACAAAACATGCTAAATTTCGCTGCTAAAAGAGTGAAAAGACTGGACAAATGTAATCGACATTTTAACATTGGTGGAGGTGCCCAAATTTCGTTTCATGTGCCTCTACCTATGTCATACTAATGTATTTTTTGCATTCCTTATCTTTGCACCGTAATGTAAGTTATTGGATATTATTATTCTGCAGTGTTTTTTTCCATTAATAATACAATATATATTTACATTTTTCTCTCCCTTTAACGTTAAAGAGTTAAGGTATAGTTAACTTCAATAGCAACTTTAGTTCCATGATCCTGTATTACTATTATCCACACCTAATCATGATTTTCTTTTTTTTCATTAAAATAATTACAAATTTAAAAATGTATTACATTAATAGTTTTTCTTTTTAAGAAGAAAAGTAAGCTTAGGAGTATGATGAAAATTAATGAGCCGAAAGAGATCAAAGGTGGAGAATAGCCCAGAGCTAAGAAAGATTCGAACGTCCGTCTGTCTTTGTAAGGCTTTTCATATGTGTATGTCTTAAGTGGAAGTATTTGTTAGGAAGTATTTGCTGGATAGAAATTGAGCCCCCACTGTTTCTGAATTAGCTCTCTTTAGCATGACACGGTCTTCCGTCATAACCTCCGTCCTTTCTGACATTTTGGTTTATACAGCGTTCATTACAGCAGAAGGTCAGACACTCTTTATATTACATAAAAATTGCACCTGATTGTGAGCATAGTCTTGTTATATAAAAGGGTCAGACATTCAGACATCCATGTTATAGATGGGAAGATATTAAGGGTGAAAGTAAAGACTACCACCGGTGTTTTAGAAAGGCTTATAGCTAAAGTGGCTATATTCGACATCGGCAAAGAAACTAACGGTGAGACCAATCATTCGTGACTTGTTGAATTGTAGTAAAACAGATTTGTTTTGCTACAAGATGAAGCGTGTTTTCCATTGAATTCGTTATCCAACATCATCTAAGAATGATTTGATCTAAAACCTGACTATGTCAAATTTAAATCAAGTAGGTTTATATTTTGAACACCGCTGCTCATAAGAATTCGCATGAAAAATAAACTTTTATATAGGATTGTCCATTGTTAAAAATTGTATTTTACTTTGATACTCTGTCTTACATATATTGTTAAAAATGATGGCGGCTACGTTTCCTGCATATAGGAAGTTCCTGTATGATTAAATAACTTCAAAAGTAACGATTATTGCCCCTGTGGTAGAGAGACAACACATCTGATGTCCCAAGAAGTTTTACATGAACAAAAACAGCTTTTGAGTGAAGTTTGTGAACCAATAATGCCATTTTCGAACGTGGAAATGGGGTTTGATGTAGCACATTACGGAAACATGATTGCTGATTTTTTGTGGCACGAATTAGCTAATTGCAACTTGGATGATAAGCGGCTTTAATAAAATGTTGTAATATGCCGTACATATCATGCCATCATCAATTCTTCAAATCAAACGACATAACTACTAACTACTAATAATACTATGGGATGATGTTGGCGTATAGGCTTACTCCAGTAAGGCTCGAACAAGCAATGACGTTATTCAGCAAGATAATTCGTATTATTGATGAAATAAGAGTAGATTTATGCGGGAAAGTGGCAAAAGTTGGTGTTCCAGGACTGACCTTGTCCAAGAGTCCATAGGCAGGGATTTATGCGAAATGACTTTTAAATAGAAATAACATAAACTAGTATTTAAAATATAGGAAAATCATTTTGATATTTTACTGTTTAATTTTTATTGCAAAAAAAAAATACATATATTCAATGATCCTACAATATAAGGTGGAAATAACGGTCAGATGTTATTTTGCTCGTTAACGACTTATGGCTTCAGTACGAAGACAGTCCAGAGAAGACGTACTTACGTTAATAGCAATTAAGGGTTGGAGGAGATTCCCAGCTCTAATCCTAATTTAGTTAATTTAGTATAATTTAGCACCTATGTTAGATATTACGACGAAATTTGAGAATTCCAAATTATTGTAACCAGAAGACGCGTGTGATGGTTCCTGTTAACTTGCACAATAGGAAAAACTTAACGATAAACTTAATAAAAATGTTATTTTTCACATTTTTTACCCCTCTGAGCTCACTGTTAAGCCATTTGTCCACAGTTGTTTAACACTTGTTTAAAACAAGTAAAACCAGTACAGTGGGCCATCTGCTCAAAAATTGCGCCCTGTAGGTGGAACCCAAGAAAGCAAGACGGACAAGTAATCTTCGACATATTCAAAAAGTGATTCCAGTGATAAGAAGTAGATTTATCTCAAGCCCTCCTGGATGTTGAATGCTTTCGCGTTAATATACTCTTGTACCGCAAGTAATAATAAAATATTGAACAGGCAAATTAAGTTTGCTAAATATAAATCATGAAAATTATACTTTCATAAGCAAAATAGTGCTTATGTTTTAATATATTATCACGAAAATTATTGAATAAGCTCTAGGCGAAGCGGTGTAGGGTATTTAATGCCGGCCTTGCCCTGGAATTATGGAATCATGTTATGCTTTACCTTAAAAAAATTGTAAAAATAGGTATCGTCTACTATAGCAAAAAAATTGGAAATATGTTAAGAAAGCAATACATTAATAAAGAAGTATATCGTATGAAATATGACATAGTCGTTTAATCTAAAAAAAAGAAACAATATTGGTTGATAATGGAAGCGCAATTTCGCTGGACGTGAGAGCTCGTGAATGGTTTCGAGTTACGACGAATAAGTCTTCTAATTTTTATTATCAATTTTAACAAATCATTTATTGGATGATTGTAGTGATGCGAAGCTACTTCGCTCAAAGTATTTGAAACACACAATACAGAAATTACACCCCATGTTATAGTACCAAAGGCATTAATTTACAATTTTTACACGACAGTTATCCCAGGTTATTAATACACAAACATACATTTAAAAAGAACAGCTCCTAAATCACTTTCACTTTTCCTGTTGATACTATTAACAATGTTTTAGAGAATAAAGACATTTAACGGAAACATAGGCAATATTTACGCAAACAACACCGTTGCGCGTAAGTTTCGTCACAATTTAACGACTTTGTTTATGATTTTCAACTAAATTTTTATATGAAAAGGTACATATGCATACATGCAACACACCCACACATACATGTATATATATATATATATATATATATGTATATATATATATATATATATATATATATATATATACTTACAACCATATACATGCCTGCGCTATTTCGATCTGTGTTTTGTATGTATACAAGACAAGTTGTAAGGATATATTTGCAACATATGTACTCATGTGCCGATATAGAAGAGTGTATGAACGTGTGGGCGCTGTAATTCTAATAACTAAGTTGTTACATTTTCAATTCCACGAAAAAAAAAGGTGCACAAAAAAGAAAGAAATTGCCTTGAAGTGAATGAAAACCTAATCGTAACGATGACTTTTACCGTCTAAGCAAAGCATTTTTATTATCTGCGACTAACTATAAAAATGTAGAACAAAAAAATCAAGAGTGTGCGCACTATGGCCGCTCTCTTATGGGATAAGTGCCATTTTTTCCTTGAGAAAGTCCGTCACACAAAAGCATTGTATTAATACTCATTTAGCTCTCTTAAGAGAGTGTTCAGTGACAAGCCTGGTGGATAACGGACCAATTGGCATTGAGCACTAAATTCAGGGGAGCATTTTTATGTAATGCAGCCATTTTAAAGGTCGACGCATTTATCGGACACGCCTTTTATAAATTATGAAAACATGTCCTACCCAAACAAACTGGAGTTAGCAAAATTCATCATAGAATTCTTTATCACACGGTTGTCTAGTTGTGAAATCTTTTCGGGTCCGTTTAGTTTAAACAATAGCAGATAATATTCGTGTAAAGTCAAGTACACACACTCAAAATTTAATTATATTCCCATTACAAACAGTGCGTGTGATTCAACCTAGTTTATAATTTATCGACCACATTTCTAATTCATAGTTAGTCATCGTCATTTGCATTATCAATTGTGATCAATTTGTTTTCATTTCTCGTTTACGCCTTTGTTGCCGCAGCACGCAATGAAAGCAAATCGTATCCAAAAATATTTGCTGTCGTAATAATTAAGGTGCATAATCAATTTAAACAATTTCACTACACGTTTATTCGCATTGGCTTTGATGTACACAATAAGCGTTTTACACATATCCATGCATAAATATATGTATGTATGCATATACTTGGACGGCGACCTGAGAATTAGTGGATTGCATTATACATAACTTCCGAACAATTTAAGAACAAGAAAAGGGTAAAAAACAATAACAAACAGAAAAGTAACAAAGCAAAAAAAAAAAGAGCAAACAAATCCTCAGCGCATACACACGGTTGCCAAATATTAATTAATTATTTAAATTTTTGATAATTATTTTGGCTCCGTCCTATTTTTTCTTGATATTATTTTCCAGTTATTCCATCCAATTCCAAAGAAAATTTTTTTTTAGTGTCTTATCAAACAGAGAATCCTGTCGAAAACAGGATTGATTTATTAAATATTTGCCATAAAGTAAGTGCTTCAAAATTTATTCGCCAACGACTTTTGACGCCTCAAGGGCGTTTAAGTTGGAAGAGGATTTTGTGGGGGGCTGCATGACAATGTCGATGTATTCATCGACGGACAAGATGAAAATGTCGGCACCAAGCTGTTTTCCTGGGCGTTACAGTCCGTCTTATAGAAGTTCGGAACAAATGCGACGATGCATGCCAAACCCTTCGGTAAGTGTTTCAAGTGAAAATAAAATTTTATAAAAATAAAATATATCAGCATACCCAGTGAGTTTATTTGTTCATTTATTTCTATTTTTCTTAATTCAGGGTAAGCCCATTCCAGCTCAAATTCAAATTTCGCGAATTTTCCGTTATCTTCACCTTGTGTTTCATTTATTTTGTCCAAGCTGCAAACAGGATTCTGATTGCAAAGTTCCAAGTGCAAATACTCGATATGTCCACAACTACAAATACTTTTACAAATAGGGAAAACGCAACAATAAAGGCGATAAGAAGAGAAAAGTCTACTCTTATGGTTTATTTGATTTAATTTTACGCTAGTATCCATGACATCTAATTACCAAGATATGGCCGTTTTAGTCGTTCATCCGACTGAAACCTTTAATGTACGTATAAAAGTTGTGACTAAAATATTCTGTGATTTTCAAAACAAAGTTTGTAAGAATTGACGACTTTATTATTTTTATACAACTACAGGATGTCCTGTTGCAGAACGATTTAGTTGTTAAATTTAATAACAGGATGGAGAGACAATCGACGTGTATTACTTGACACATGTTATTTTAATATGTGATATGTTTAGTAAATGGTTTTATTTTGCCCAGCACTACAACATAAAATTGACGACCACCAGTTCTAATTGTGAGATACATTACTTAGGTAGGAGCTTGGTAGAAGGTTCAAAGACAAACCACCGTTTATTTCAAATTATAAACTTTTTTTGGCTTTGTCTCTTTTTCATCTCCCGTTTTATTCACATTTCGACATTTCAAAAAAAGCAAATAATTTTTTCATGTTTATAGAGCATTACAAGTGAATAAGAAATCCAATTGTTTTATGTGACTATGAAGGACTTAAGGCGGAGAAAATTTTACTCAATTGACGCGTTGATTTCATCACTTTCATTGATAAAATTTCCTACTACCCAGTCATTACACCACTATCACTTTTAAATAAATTATTAGACAGACTTTGGTTTGAACACATATGCCAAGCTTTGTAGTTTGTTGTACGTTTATTGAAACTTGGTTGTGGATACTCTATATGTCTTAGATTATGTTCACATAATTTATAATCGCATTACCGTGTTTGTTGTCCCGACACTATTTCTCAATTAGAACAGATGTGTGTCATTTAAAAATAGTGTTTTCATTGGAGTTATTTCGTTGCTCTCTATGCGCGTTTATTCATGATCATTATTTCTTTTTAATATCGTAATGCTCAAGCTAAATTTTTAGATTTGACTGCGGAATTTTGCTTTTTATTGTCAACTAAATCTAAAAAACACATATTCTATAGCCGGCCTCAAACCTTGCAAATATCGCGTGTATGCACTTTAAAAAATGAGCGGGGTATACTCTTAGGGATCTAATTCTTTGAATCAACTACTACTTATTGTCTAGCTCTCATATATTAATCATAAGAAATCTATCCATTTTTCATTATTTGTGTTTATTTGGTCGGTTTTTTTATGTTGTCTACTATGTCACTATTATGGTCTCAACTATTTTTTCTAATGCTAGTGCGTAGAAGCGCGCGTCAATGACGCTACAAAAAATCTGTGTTTAACTCGAATATGAGCAACTTTACCTTACCAAATCTGTGTGTCTGTTATATTTGTAAATTCGCATTATGAGTACAAAATCTTGTCGAAGAAAATGATTTCGCGTTGTCTAGAAAGACGAAGCAGAACAGCTACAATTTCTTCAGGATTGCATAGGCTCAAAATTCATCATAAGTTTTTCCTAACAAAATGTGTGTGTTCGAAAGTTCCCCACATCAAACACACAAGTTTTACTCGGCGTTTGTTGCAATTTTAATTACTTATTATCAACCTTAACGTATTATCAATAGGTATATAATTGATTGTTTCCATGTGATTTATATCGTATATAATATGGTACGTTGTACAAAATCCATTCTTTATACAAATTGACAACGTTCCATAAACCAAAAATCCTCTTCACCTAACACGGTTTATTTATGGTGTATATTGCGCACTTTGGAATGTTCTGGATGATTGTGATTTTGCAGACACGATTCGATTACTTAATTATATATATATATATATTTTATTGTGCTTTTCATGCACTACAATTATTGTCCTCAATATGTAATTTTTGGCAAAAATATATATAAGCATATGCAAATTTTTACAAATTTATTTAGTATCTCTTTACAATATAAGAAGTTTTAGGATTTTATAATTCAAATATATCATACTCGATGCTAGATATAAAACGAAAATTGACCAATTTGAATATTTTTTGACACTAAGAATAACGAATTCCACTTCTTTATTTTGAAATTTCAGTTTATAAAGATAAATTGGTTGAAGATAGTAAAATTTTACGCCCTTTAAATAAGGAATGGGTTTTTCTAGTAAGCAGAGAAGAGTTTTTTTTAGCATTTTGCTTCATAATCTTATAACGAATACTATGAGTATATATATTTATCTCACTAACTCCTAGTTCTGATCTTACAGTTATATGTGCATTTAAGTAAGGAACTAATTTTTTCGATAGATATTTTTTTATATTTTGTCTTCGGTCTTAAATTTGGACTCTAATGTGATACCGTATTTCGTTTACCGCACCTGTTAATAGAAATCGAAGCCATAGATTCTGATCGGTCGGTCCTTGCCGTTTACTATTTTAGTTGACGTAAAAGCTAACATATATATTTTTAGTTTACTCTTTTTATTTGGTCATTTTGGTCACTAACTTGCAGTCTATTTCATTGATGATTTAAAACTTAAGTTGTAATCAAGCGTCTAGAAAATGGGTGCTTTTTGTTAACGGTTGTATTTAGTGCTTCATTTTCAATGAAAATTGTAATATTGCGGAAGGGGTTCTGTGAAAAGACTAGCTTACATGAGCCCAGTTCAGCTCTCCATAAAGTTAAAAGCAAGTGGAAGTACGGTTTAAAAATTCTTACAATACGATCAAAATGCAGCCAATAAAACTGCACAACTTTCTTCGAAATGAGTAGTATCCACAACAGGCTAAGCCATATCATTACAGACTGCAAAGTAAAATCTTTAAGATTACTTAAATGTGGCTCATAAACGCCCAAAATGATCTAAACAAATGAATATGTTTATATGCATTACACAATGATGTTGAGACGTTTATCAAGGCGTGAAATCATTAATTTCTGTCCAATCAATCTGATTGACAATATACGTGATTATCAACAATCTTTTTCATAGCCAAAAATTACACAATCACTTGTTTACCGAAACGTAAAAAGATAGCAAAACTTGTTCAAATTTACGGCAGTTTTACTTTAAAAACACGCTTCAAATTTCCAATATTTACCAATTTTTGCAAGATAATTTAAGTTGTTTTTTGGCTGAAAGCGAGTCTTTTGTATATACATTACTTTTAAAAAATTCTTCAAGTCTTCGAATCTATTATGTTATGACGAGTTCTTAATAAGATAGTAATAAAATAATGAATATATAAATAAATAATGCGTTTGTTGGAACCCTAATTAAATCTAGACATCATTAGATTCTCCTAGAGCTTTATTTCAAATAAAAATGGGGCTTCAAATTTTATCATAACACAGTTATGACAGATCTTTGCGGTAAATGACTGTATTGATAAGCTTATTAATAAAGACATGTTTTTCAAAACAGGATCGAAATATTACGATAAACCCGGCATAATCGCCGAGAAGACCAATATCCAATATTTGCTTTTCAATCTCGTCATCAAACTTCACTTGAAAATAGTGCTAAAATAACGAAGTCTCCCTTTTATTGCATAAGAAAACATTAAACAAAAAAAGGAAAACAATCTTTTTGGTCGGAAACTTTCTAGATGCTTTCTATAAGCAAAATAAAAAAATTCATTCAAAAAAGTAACAGCACCGTGTTATTTAAATAACATTTCAAATTCTTCAAATTCCTGAATGTCATAATAATAGGTGGGCGAAAAAGAACTCCATTAATAGACGGATGTATTGATCAAACAATTTCAGATTTACGCTCGTTGCGCAGATGGCATTTCGTATTAAAAAATTCTTTTGCTGCTTCTTTGCTTACTCCATTCAACTGTAACTTATGTATGTTAAAAAAGGAAGTCAACAACGAGAAAATTTGGTACATTTTACAATTTTTCTTTAATAAAGTCGAAAATGGAGCCAGGCAATTGAAATTACGTACCGTTTTTATGGTTCCGATGCTGCAACAGCCGATTCAGTGCAATTTTGATTTCGTTGATTGCGTTCAGGTATTTGTGATGTTAAAGATACACCTCGCATAGGTGGGGGCCCGTCGTCTAAAATGTCGAAGAAATCACAGAAATGATCGAGGTTGACCGGCATGTTAGCAGTCGTAGCATCGCCCAGTGGATGAAGATCGACCGTACAACAGTTTTAAAGCATTTGCACAAAGTTAGATTGAAAAACAAGTTTGATGTTTGGGTGCCACAGCAACTAGCACAAAAAACATGATGGATCGAATTTCCATCTGCGAAGACTTGGCCAAACGGAATCAAATCAACTCATTTTTTAAATGGATTTTGACTATCGATGAGACAACATTGTGGGAAAAAGGTTGTTGTTGAAGCGAGGTGAAGCAGCGATTACCATATTTTTCTTGCATTTGTTAACTTCCATTTTTAAAACGCTGTAAACCCACAGCTGAATAGACCACATAAAACACAGCAAAGCAACCTTTTCAGTGCGAAATTTTACCTTTCCACCGAGTATAAATCTGACATTGTTTAATCGATGTACAAGATATCGATCACTATAGACATCTACCAAAAAAATAATGGATCCCTTTTTCCCAAACTAATATTTGATTATTAAACAGCTGTTTAACTAATTTAATTAAACGGACTAAAACGGATTAAATTTAATTAAATATTTTTGGAGATAGTGTTTCTATTGTTACAATATCAAGGAAAACGATTAGAACCTTCAGAGAAAGCCTGTCTTCGATATTTAGAAAGACGAGAAATATTAAAAATCAAAAC